ATTGCTACCCCCAGTCAACCCAGCATAACCTTGGTCTTTAACAGCCTCTGGGGTAGCTAATAAGAAAGAAACTGAAACAACAACAAGAAGCCAAAAGAAAGAAAATAGGTATTTAAAGCAAGTATGTTCCAGATCTGTCCGGTCAGGACTTCCTTACCAACTTCTTTGTGAAGGAAACTCTCAGAGAGGTGGTTTTCTGTGCACACAGAGGTGCGGCTGGCAGCTTGAGTCATCTTAATGGAGCCCTCCAAGTTAAAACTTCAAGTGCAAGATATCTGGCAACCATCTCTAGTCCTTCTCCTTTCTCTCTTGGCTGGGAAACTGAAGTGAGATCAGTTTTTATATTTTTAAACTGTTCTTAATGTTTTACATACTATATTTTCTTGAGCCTTTAATAGACTCTTTCATGATTCAAAATAAAATATGAAACAAGCTGTGGTGAATGTCTTGTTTCATTCTGTTTCCATGTTCTCTATTTTGATTGTAAGTTTTCTGGGAACAAGGCCATCATCTTATTGAATATAGTCTTTTCATATTTGAAACTTTCCCAGCACTTAAGTGTAACCTGGATGTAACTCAGGCCTTCCGTTGAACACCCTGGCCAGGATTTCCGCATATTCCTCTTGAGGTTTTGTTCTGGCTGGTTCCAGCTCCCATAGGGCCCTCGATCTGCTGACTGCTGTGTCACTGCGTACAGACCTGCCACTAATGTATACAGAGGCTGGGAAGGTTAGTTCAGTGTGAGAAAGGAGGCCCACAAATTTACTAAGAATATAACCAACCACTAAAGAGAATATGTACTTTTTTCATACCTTGGCAAATATATCTTTATCAAGACCCACAAGGCCAGGCTGAAATGTGGAATTCTTGAACTCCTGGTTTATCCTAGTTAGGGTTAATAGTTCTGAGGTGAAATACCATAAACAAAAGCAACTTGAGGAGGAACAGGTTTACTTGGCTTACACTTCCATATTACTGTTCCTTCTAGAAGGGAGTCAGGACAGGAACTCACAACAGGGCAGGAACTTAGAGGCAGGAGCTGATGGAGGCCATAGAGGAATCCTGCTCAGCCTGCTTTCTTATAGAACCCAGGATCACAGCCCAGGAGTGGCCGCACCCACAATGGGCTGTGCCCTCCTACATCAAGATGGCCAACAGGCTTTCCTACAGTCCACATTTATGTAAGTATTTTCTCTATTGAGGCTTCCTTCTCTTTGATGAGTCTAGCTCGTGTCAAGTTGACATAAAACTAGCCAGCACATGGTTTTCTTCACTGGGATTCAAGAGTCTGGAGAGAGGGACCTTTCCCAGAAGCAATGCCCTCCACCTCTAGCACACCCCCATCTTTGTTTTCCTGTGTCCTCGTCCTGCACTCTTGCACATCACAAGGGGCCTCACAAACATTCCTAGACATTTGGGCACAGCTAAGTTCTGCCAAGTGCTCTTAGGTAGCCAACCCTTGGGAAAACCACCATACTAATGGTGTGAACAATACAAATTATCACTGGGAAGACAGAGAGTCAGAACTCATGTTATCTTGGATGTGAACTGGGGCCATTTGGGCAAAGTGCTTGTAGGTATGCCCTACAAGGTGGAAGATTAGTTTTCTGCCCATCAGCATTCAGAAGCTGCTAACAATGGCAGGATCTCAGGCCCCAGGGCTAACCCACTGGATCAAAACCTGCCTTTAACCCCGCACCACCCCCAAGGCTAGGTGATTCCAGTTACACTGCAGTGTGACACTAACTGCCTTAGATCAAGGCTAAGAGTCTGGAGTTGGGCTCTTCTGGCCAAGTTCAAGGGTTATACCATCCTCTGCTGTTACTTTTCTCTGCTCAGTAAGGACTCAAATATGCAAACTGTGCTGCGGTTCTATTCAGGATGTGACAAGATGGAACCAGTTAGCCAATGTTTCTCTCCTTCCCTCCCTGTAGCACTGGATCCCAACAAGTTATAACTGCCCTTTATTTGCTATGAAGCTCCCTTCCCTGGCCCCTAAACTCAGCTCCAAGTGCCTCCCCCCCCCTCACTCCTTTTCGTAGCTGAGGACTTATCTGTGTCTCTGTTGAGCCATATTAGGCTGCACCTAGACTATCCTCCTCACTCTCTGCCAGGCAAGAATGGTTAGAGGTGTACACATGCATTTCAAATACATTGGTTACCTCTCCTCAATCATCTGGGGAGATGAGAGGCAGTTAAGGCTTTGAATAATTATTTTCCTCTTTAGTAGGTAAAACCCCAAGCAGAGACTTCTCTAGCTTAATCACATCTTCATAATATGCAACAGTTTTTCTCTTCTTACAACTATCCATCATTTGAGACACATCTTATTGCTAAAACCTCATACCTATGTAGTTATATTTTTCATCTTCTGAATCTCCAATGTCTATATTTTTCTCCTATAGTCATTTCTAATTGTGTTTCTATACATACATTTTTTGAAGATTTATTTTTGGGCTGGAGAGATGGCTCAGCAGTGAAAACACTGTCTGCTCTTCCAGAGGTCCTGAGTTCAATTCCCAGCAACCACATGGTAGCTCACAACCATCTATAATGAGATCTGGTGTCCTCTTCTGGTGTGCAGGCAGAAGACTGTATACATAATAAATCTTTGGGTTTTTTTTGTTTTTGTTTTTGTTTTTTTTTTTAAAGATTTATTTATCACATATACAGTGTTCTGCCTGCATGTATGCCTGCACACCAGAAGAGGGCATCAGATCACATTACATGTGGTTTCTGGGAATTGAACTCAGGCTCTCTGGAAGAACAGGCAGTGCTCTTAACTTCTGAGCCATCTCTTCAGCCCGCACATACTATTTTAAAACACTTTTGGCATCAATAACTTCTTTGTACACTAGAGAACCAAATGACTCTAAGTCTAAAATATGTTAAATGAGCACAAGCAGGGTCCACGGGAGAAGTGCTAACTCTGTGTTCTTAGGGAGTGAGTGCCATTGGTATTGAGTGATGTTTCTTGGCTCTATGGGAGAGACCCTAAGACAAAAAGCTTTTAGAGTGTTATATTCCTATACAGCTATCCCTTGCTATCCCATGACTTCTGTTCTTGAGTTCAGCAGTCAGTGTGATGAGAAAGTGGGGTCACAAGGGAAAGCTGTTGCCAGAACTCTAGAATCAGAAGCTCTGGAATAGAACACTGTAACTTTAACCATTAACTTCTCTAATCCTCCTAATCCATTTGGCAATCCAAATTCAACCCTATGTAACTCCTGAGGACAAAGAGTCGATCGCAGCCACAGCCATATCCTCCAGTTAAGTGTGCTTAGAGTTTTCTATTGAGCAACCAGGAAAGGCTCAAAGCCACTAGAGGGGAGGGATTACATAATGGCCTGTTTACTTTAGACAAGCCTAGAACTTGTTGGGTTTTTTAAGAGTGGGAGAGATTAAGTAATAATTAATGATCATTTCATTAAAATTCTAATGATTTTTCAAAGCTTGCTATTGTCTGTGAGAATCCAAGTTATTTATAGAAAATTGCTCCTTTCTAATAACTGCAAATGTGAGGGTATATTAATTTTGCTGTTTCTGTGACTGAATACCTGGCAAGAAGCAACTTGATATAGAAGTTCATTAAGATGTATAGATTTTGGACCTGATTAGTTTCAATGTGTGATATTTTTTTATTTGCAAGTTTTTTAAATAATAAAGCTCATATATATATACATACATACATATGTATATATATATGTAATTTGAGGGAGGAAGGCTTTATTTATTTTTGAGGGTATGTGCATGTTTGTGTATGTGTGCATGTGTGTGTGCATGCATGTGGAGGACAGAGGTTATCCTTGGGTATTGTTCCTCAAGTGTTGCCTACCTTGATTTGTGTGTGTGTGTGTGTGTGTGTGTGTGTGTGTTTCATGTGTGTGCATGTACGTATGAAGGCTAGAAGTCAATATCCGGTGTCTTTCTCAGTTTCTGTCCACCTGATTTTTTGAGACAGAGTATCTCCTTGAGCCTTGGCTAGACTGACTGGCTAGCAATATGGAGATCCTCCTATCTCCACTGCCCTAGCACTGGGATTATAGGTATATGCCACAGCAACTGGTTTTTCACTTGTTCTTGTTTTGTTTGTTTGTTTGTTTGTTTGTGACAGCGTCTCTCATTGGCCTGAGACTTAGAAATTGGGCTAAACTGGCTGGACAGTGAGCCCCAGGGATCCTTCTGTTTCCACCGTCCCAGGGATGGGATTACAAGAGTGCTCCATGCCTGGCTTCTAAATATGGATTCTGGAGATTGAATTAAGATTTTCCTGCTTGCAACGTAATCATTTTATTGACTGAGTTATCATCCCAGCCAAGAAGGGTTTACTTTGACTTACAGTTTGAGAAAGATGTGTCCACACATACACAGTACATCCTGGCATGGATGGCATGGAGGGAGGAGGGTGAGGTGGCTGCTCACATTGTTTCCACAGTCAGGAAGAGAGAGAGAAATGTTAGCATTCAGTCCAGGACCCCAGCCCAGGTGGTGATACCACCCACATTCAGGGTGTGTCTTCCTTCTTCAGGTAAACCTTTCTGGAAAGGACCTCAAAGCACACCCAGAGGTGTATCTTCTCTGTGTTTCTAAATCCAGTCAACTTGAAAACGGAGATCAGCTGCCACAGAGTTTCTTTAGAATGCTTCGAGGGTTTGGGGAGGTAGTTCAGTAGATAAAGCGCTTGCCATGCAAATGGGGGGGCCTGGATTTTGGATCCTTAGAACCCGTGGGTAAGCATGGCAACCACCTACAAGCCGGCAGCAGGCATCTACCCGCTGGCTACCCAGTTTAGCTGATCAGTGAACTCTGAGTTCAATAAATGAAGAGGACAGCAATTGAAGAAGACACCCAGCAATAACTTTGGCTCTTTTCTGTGTGAACATGAATACACATATGCACGCAAACCACACATAAAAAAGAAGTGCTTTAAACTTTATAAAATACTTTAATGAATGTTATTTTATATCATCTTGGATCATTGATGTCCAACAGAGATTTCTACAATGATGGGAATGTTCTGTTCCATCAAAAAGGTCACACTAGTCACCTGGGCCGCACAGTGGAGGGGTGGGCGTTCAAACACAAACCAGGATATGTCTATCAGTATCCTGGATGCTTGGGCAAAAGTAGAGGATATCAACTATGAATCTCTTTCCATGTGATAGACCATATATTCTAAAATATAATAAAAAACTTTAGTCTATTGATGAACAAAATTTAGTAATTTTATAAAATGAAGCAAACAAGCTTTAGTAGAATTTATAAGTTTCTGCATTTTTTTAGACCTTGGCTGTCAATCAGCTCTGCATTTTTGGTGAGAATCTGTATACATACTAGATAATTATATTATCTGAGTTTAGTTCATCTTACTAATTTACACCATGTAGCTATTCAGAAGTTTTCTCCGCCTAAACGATGATGAAATTTCCTTTGGACCGGATGTCAGCTTCATTTGCTGTGAACATAACAGGTATTAAGCTGCCATAACAAAATGACTTCTCTCGATCTTCATGACATTTTCACATCAAGCAAAAGTATCCAGTGGTATTGCCAAAGGTGACTTACAGGTTTCTAGTGTTAGCATAACCTGTAATTAGCCCAGCCACCCAAAATTAACATATAAATCATATTAAAACTTCATCTCTTTTGTTAATGAAGAGTCAGGAAAATTCCTCATTCCAAGCCAAGAAAGCCATTGAACTCTTTTATGAAGATGTTGCACAGTTACGGGCATCTTAATATATTTAATATTCTGATAATCTTTTGGTTATGATCACAACAACAGGGGAGTATGGTGTTATGAATAGCAATGAACAAACAGTAACAACAACCAAACCCAACCAAACAAAAAAATTCTCTGGGTTCCAATGTGGGAGAGTGGCTGTCATATTGATAAGAGGGTGTGCCAACCCCATGGTAGCCAAACAGGTTTGCCAGTACATCACAGGCCAAATAAACACTGCTGCCATACACAGAAACAGAAACAGAAAAGCCTGCACTGAAATATCACAGCATCGCTGGGCTATCCACTGTGTTTCTACAGATTTCTAAGTATTACCTTTAAATAATAAAAGCACACAATTCAATAGTTCTTGAGAGGATGTGCAAGCATCTAAGGGCAGGTTTACAGAGCCTCAGAGTCTGTCTGGGGTACTCTGAGACAATAGGGGTGACGGGAAGAGCAGGGCTGTGTACTCACTAAAGTGCTAGATGCAGCCCTGGGCAAAATGACCTCACTTCTCTGCATCAGCTCCCCCCTCCTTCTTTCCTTGTCCGTGTCCGTGCCCCCCCCTCCTCCTGGTCCCATTCTCCTCTTCCCCTCCCTTTTTCCTTCTTTGTTTGCTTCCTTTCTTCCTTCCCTCTCTCCTGCTCACATTCCTCTTTCTCTTCCTTCCTTCTTAGGTAGAGTCTCACTTAGTCCAAGCCGACTGACTTTGAACTGACTTGGTAGCCTACACCAGCCACGAGCTCCTGATCTTCCTTAACCTCCCTCCTGAATGCTGGAATTACAGGCATGTGCCACCATGCCCGGCTCTGGGGCAGCTTTTGCGTTTTGAAGTTGGGACTTGCACTCCTGTCATGGCTGTTGTGAGAATTAGACAAAATGCCTCATAGGCCACACCTGGTACAATCTGTAGAGTAGTCATGCCTGGAGAGTGGAAAGCTCGTAATACACGAATCAGGAGATAGAAAAAGCCGGCTTTACAATCCTGGGCATGTGATCTTGCACAAGTGACAAATCTGGACGTCAGTTTCTTCACCCCTGATATGGGAATGGTGCCAGGGTCCTCCACACTGGGCTGAGAGGAAATGGGGAGTGAACGTCAGTGCCATTGTATTATAGGCCTTCCTTTTCTTTCCATTTCCCCTCCTCTCTCCTCTCCACCGAGGTGGTACGGGGACCCTTTTCCTGGTGTTGCCTGAATTCCTCCTGATCATTCAAACTTTGTACTGAATCTTTTTCTTGAGTCCCCTAAAAAGAGAAATCTTGGGGCCTGGGGAGATAGCTCAGCGGTTAAGAGCACTAACTGCTCTTCCAGAGGTCCCGAGTTCAATTCCCAGCAACCACATCTATAATGAGATCTGGTGCCCCCTTCTGGCCTGCAGGTGTACATGCAGGCAGAACACTGTATTCATAATAAATATATCTTTAAAAAAGAGAGAGAGAGAAATCTTGTGTGGTCCATGCCTTTCTTTAATCCCAGCAAACAGGAAGCAGAGGCAGGTGGGTCTCTGGGAGTTTGAGGCCAGCCTGGTCTAAATACTGAGTTCCAGGACTGCCAGAGCCATACAGTAGAACCCTGTCTGAAAAAAGTAAATAAATAAACAATAAAAAACAAATAAAAAAGAAATCTTTTTGAAACAACTAGTATGGTGGGTATTATATAATTGTCTTATAAATTGATGTACTCAGCTTGGTACAATATGTTAAAGGCTATTAAACCCACTGAGTCCCTGAAGGGAATAGGGGAACCCAGCCAAGTTCAGTTTCTCTTTGGACTTTCAAATGTATTTCACAATTTCATCAATCTAGGATGTTTTTTAAATCTCTAGTCCAAAGGTCATATGAAGTCCCTTTGTTTGTTCAATAAGCTAATAGAAAATAGTATTTTATAATTATGAAAGGTAAATTTTCATGACGGTTTCCTTCTGTTGACTGACACCATTATTTAATATTTACCTTTTAAACTTATCTATCAATCAAAATTATATGTGAAATATGCCCCATGTGCTCAGCTTTCTGTTGGACTTTGGTTTTAAAAATAAAGTTTCATGAAAAACAGATTTATGTCACAACTCTCTTCCAGCAGTTGGCTGCAGTTCCAGACAAACAAAGTATTTCTTTTATAGGGTCAGCCATCATTATTCCTGCGTGTGTCAGCAGATACAAGCACCCTAAATGTGAAACTGGGTTTGTGGGGGAGGAAACAGGAGGAGACCGGAGTGTCATCCAAGAGTGAAGGTTTGAGAGGGCGATGAGCAGACTTTGAGACCTTGCTCTCTAATCAACGTTGAACCCAGACACACACACACACACACAGAGAGAGAGAGAGAGAGAGAGAGAGAGAGAGAGAGAGAGAGAGAGAGAGAGAGAGAGAGATTTTTATTTTTGGTGCTGGGTGTTGAACCTGGAACTTCATAAAAATGAATCATGAGTTCTACCACAGAGCTACATCCCAGCCTGCAATTAGTTTAAAATGGATATCGTGGAGGCGGGAATCGGATGGTTCCCTCCAGGCAAGCAAGTTACCCTTGGGGACAGTGGCAGTGGATCGACTAACTCCTGAAGCTGTCAAACTGCACACTGGAGGAAGATGAGAACACAAGGTGCATGGAGCAGGGATCATGACGGCTCTATTGGACCTCAGGTGCCCATTGGTGTGGATACCCAGTAGAAGTTTGTGGAATGTAGAACAATGACTCCCATTCAGAGCTATCTCTACCTAGAAATCTTAAGCTGGGAATCTAAAAGTTAACAACCACTATACATTTGGGGAAAGCAGGAAGGGAAGTAAACTCTGCAATGACAGCCTCAATCGTTGGTTGGTCGGCATGGCGTGAAGACTCCGACACTCCAGCTTCCCATCTATATATAGGTTAGATCACTTTGGAATATGCCAAAGTGGACCCTCTGCAAGTTCCATAAACTAAACAGAGGCTTTTCCTAAATGGAACACGTTTATTGTGTCATTGACTTTTCTAGGGATCCTGACTCCCTCATTCCTCTTATTCTTGATATCTCCCACCATTACCATCACAATGTGCCAGGGACAGTTTTTTGTAGGTCCAGATACAAGATCAACCCCTCACCCCAATAAAGGCAAAGAAAGTTTGTGTAGTAGATACAAACTGCTCTCAGGTTGGCAAAATTCACCCCAAGAGATCCAGTTTAACTGGATGTTCTGGAACAAAGCTGCTCAATGGGCTGGGCCCATCCCAAGAAGGGTGGGGAGAGTTACAAAAGCTGTTCCTGCCCTCCATCCAAGCCAGACAGTAAGCAGGAGTGGAAGTGTTTTTGAACTAAACTTGGTTCTTAAAATATGTGAAATCCTTTCAGTATTTAATAAGATTGTTTTGTCTACCATTGCTTTCCTTGTATTGAGCGCCAAACATTTACACCCAGTGTCCTTCAGGTTGGCCATGTACTCCTTACATTCCTAGCTAATGAAAAGTTGGAAATCACTGTAGTAATTACTTTTGGAAGCCTTAAAATGCCTCATCAAGACCACATCCCATCTTTGGACAATGTTTGGCAATGTAGAGGTTGGGAGATCCAATATGCATGTTAACGCCTCAACAGCATGAGTCATAGTTAATGACATTGCATTTTTCTTCTTTAATTTTTCTAATGCCCACCTTTAGAAGTTAACATTCAGGCAGATCATTTTGACACACCATGAACTAACTTCCATAGTGACTCAAAGGCAGCTATCATTTCTCTTACAGATTAAAAAAGACTTAGTATGAGCAATATTTCTCAGTTGTTCCTTGCTTCTGTTCAGACCTTTCACTTATTAACATGGAAACCATTTTTTAAGCCAAATAACTCCCACAAGATTGCATTACTAGGAGGCAGCAGAGTTAGTTAAAATCCAAGAATCATAACGTCTAAGCCAGTGCCCATTAGTCTATTACAGGAATTTGATCTTCAAGGTATGATTTGGAAAATACTGTTGGTTCCTGAGGCTCTTTTAAAGGCTCAACAAGGTCAAGACTGTCACTAGCAAGCTGTCATCGGCCTTCTTATTTTCACCCTTTCACCCATGTGTGGAGCTTTCCAAAGTTACATGACATGATATTGCAGGAGATGGAATGGAAAGGTTGATATGAAACTCGAATTGCCTTCTGTTCTATCAGATAATGAAGGCCCTTTCAAAAATGTAAAGCAAGGACCTTATTCTCTGTAACAATAAAAAGGAAAGGTGTATTTCATAACAATGTGTTATTTACATTAACAATGAGCTTGTTGACTTACTATGAAACAAATAATACATACTTAAAATTTCTCAGTTGTCATTTTTAATTATATGCATATATACATATTAAATGGATGGATGGATAGAGAAGATATTCAATATCAAACATTAATCCAAGAAAGCCCTTTGTGACTTCCATAATTAAAAAAAAATAACAAAACTCTAAGTTCTAAGGTCTAAAGTTTGGGAATCGCTACCCTAGTCATAGAATTGTGCAAAACAGGGCTGTATCCCATCAAAACGCACCTCATTATTTTGCTTTATACAATTTGTATCAATCAGGATCCTAACGGAAAACAGCATTAAAGAGACCATTGAGAGAATTATCATGAAGGAGCAGTGTAGCATGTGTGAGCAGAGGTAAGGGACTGTGGGGGTTTGGATGAGATTGTCCCCCACAGGCTTACATATTTGAACAGTTGGTCCCCAGCTGTTGTGCTGTCTAGGGAGCTTTAGGGGGTGTGGCCTGTGAGGGCACAGGTCCTTCTGCTCA